TTTTTTTTTTTTTAAGGTTGGTCTGCCTCATTCAACACACTGCATTTACAGAGAGTAGTCTTTAATTCTATCTGTATATTTAATTATGTGAACATATCCGCAGGCACTCCGATATATCATTCTGCAGCACTTAGGAGTTCAATACTGAGGATTCGCTTGCCATTATATTATTTCTCATTAGGTATTTTGCTTTGTTTTGTGGATAATTAAATATCATGCTTTGTACATAGTATTGATAAGAGAGGCGCCTGCGTGGCTCAGTCGGTTGAGTGTCCGATTTCGGCTCAGGTCATGACCTCACAGTTTGTGAGTTCGAGCCCCGCGGCGGCTCTGTGCTGACAGCCCGGAGCCTGGAGCCCGCTTGGGAGTCTCTGTCTCCCTCTCTCTCTGCTCCTCCCCTCCTTGCACCCTCTCTCTCAAAATAAATAAATAAACATTCAAAAATAGTATTGATGAGAGTGGTTCTCATCGTACTTACATAGCTCCTCTCGCGTGCCATCAGTACTCTGTTTTATATATTGTAACTTAATCCTCGCAACGCTCTGCGAGGTTGAGTCCATTATTAATTATCCTGATGTGTAGGTGAGGAAACTGACAGGTCAAGTGTCTTGTCCAAGTCGGTGGCAGAGCTGGGATTTGAACCCAGGCCGTCTGGCTCTGGCGTCCGTATTTCGGATACACACACTTTTTGTCTCCCGAGCTCATTTTTAAGTTTCTTGGGGACGGGGACTGTGGCTCCTGTTACACCTCTTCTCTTCCTCAGAAAGGTCCAGCACAACGCCCAGTATAGATAAATAGTTGTTAACTCACAGGCTGAGACTCAGGGGTGGAAGTTCTCTTGCAACCATTCCCTGGGTGGTCATCAATTCACTGTGAGCTAAGCGTTATCTCTCAGGAGAATACATTAAGGTATGTCTACGATACAAAGGAGGTGGTACAGAATAGGAGGTCAGAGAGAGGGAGATCACCAACATCCGTGCACAACAAAGGCTCCCTTGGCCTCAGCCAACAAAGACTGAGTAACTCCCTCTCCCTCCCCGGGTATGCCTGCCATTGAATTCAATGCAGAGGATTCAAAGACATAGGTTTTCACCCTCAGTGTTTTACACGCGAAGCAAAAGCTCTTAGGAGGAGGGTGGGAGTTGGGGCTGACTGAAAAGGCCGCTTGCGAGGCGCAGACCGAGGGAACACATTTTTAGAAGCTCCTAGTGGAATGTGTAGGCTAGGTGACAAGAGAGAAGAGAATCTTCCAGGCTGGGAGGACTGAGTGAACTGGGGTTCCGGCAGGAAAGAGCATGTTGTGTCTGGGAGGGAACAAGGAGATGCCCAAAGGGGCCAGGAGCTCTGGAAGCCTACCTCCCTGGGGTCAGCTGCCCTCTGGGTATCCAGTCCTCGAGTTAGTCTGCGCATGCCAACACGAGTTAGTCTGCGCATGCCAACACGTTCACCCAAGGAACCGTGCCTGAGCCAGGGCGTCCATATGCCCCGGTTTGCCAGGACAGTCCTGTCTGATTCCTGGTATTCCCAAATCCCTTCTGGAAGCGTCCCCTTTCATTCTCAAGAGCATCTTGTTGGGGGTGTAAATGACATGGTCACCTTACTCAAAGGCCACTTCGTGCAACGTGACATTGTAGATTATTCTGCCTCCCTAACACCGCAAATCCCATTTTCCCCTCTTTGGTAGAAGGGACTTAGAGCCTGTGTCACACACACGGGCTCTATTGCCTACTCTACCACTGGAAGCACTAGAAGGTGTGCCTGGAGTCCATCGGACAAAAAAAGTCCCCAGTTAAAAAATATATATATTGCCCTGGGGCGCCTGGGTGGCTCAGTCAGGTGAGCGTCCCACTTGGGCTGAGGTCATGATCTCACAGTCCCTGAGTTTGAGCCCCGTGTAGGGCTCTGTGCTGACGGCTTGGAGCCTGGAGCCTGCTTCAGATTCTGTGTCTCTCCCTCTCTCTCTCTGCCCCTCCCCCACTAATGCGCGCACGCGCGCGCGCGCGCGCGCGCGCGCGCGCGCTCTCTCTCTCTCTCTCTCTCTCTCAAAAACAAACATTAAAAAAATTTTTTTAATTAGGAAAAAATTATTGGCCTGGGGTGCCTGGGTGGCTCAGTAGGTTGAGCGTCCGACTTGGGCTCAGGTCATGACCTCACAGTCCCTGAGTACGAGCCCCCCATCGGGCTCTGTGCTGACAGCTCGGAGCCTGGAGCCTGCTTCGGATTCTGGGTCTCCCGCTCTCTCTGCTCCTCCCCGGCTCGCACGCTCTGTCTCAAAACTGTTGATTAAGAAAAAATTGTTTTGAAACATTGGCCTGACTTTCTGAGTGGTCTTAACCACCAGAGCAGTGGGCTGCATACATGATTTGATACAAGACACACATACAGTATCACAAAGCTTCCAGAAGTTGACATAATCCAAATCTCAAAGTGGTTTGTATGCCACTGGAAGCCTAGGATGGGAGAGGAAAATAGGTGTTCTTTTGTGTTTCAAAGAAAAAAAAATGTGGAAATACTACCTTTCCAGGTACTTAGAAGACTGTTAGGCACAGACCCCTGCTCTTCGGTAATTAAAGTCTATGGTGTCAGACAAGGATCTCAATAAACACGCTTTTACCACCTTTTATGTGGAAATTTAAATGCTTATTTACATTTACTTTAGAATTTAAAGTTGAACAGATGTCTTGAGGCCCTTCTGAGACTCCAAGTGGCTTATATAAATCCTCCAGGGTCAAAAAACGTTTCATGCCATCACAGACTTTCTGCTTAATTCTATTGCCAATTCAAAATATTGATGTGGTTTTATTTCAGGTTTCTGTAGAGCAAGGACTGAAGGGCATTGGTCCCATCCGATGCATTTTAAATACTCTGGTTGTTTCCCCCCACCCCCCCACCCATGTCTTTGCCGGAACGATTACAAAGGGTTTATGTGTGTGTGTGTGTGTGTGTGTGTGTGTGTGTGTGGAAATGAGGTTTTCTGAATGGAAAAGATTCCTTTGATGAACCATTTGGAAGATTTTAAAAATTCTTTTAGAAAACCTGATACGATATCAGAATTACTTCATCAAATTTGAGTTATGTTCAGATGGGAAGCTAAAGCTTATGACATACTACCAGAATATTTACTTGGGGTTTTCCTTTTCATTTGTTGAAATGCAGCAAGTAGTTTAAATATGAGACCAGGGGCGCCTGGGTAGCTCAGTCAGGTGAGTGTCTGACTTCGGCTCAGGTCACGATCTCATGGTTTGTGAGTTCGAGCCCTGCGTCGGACTCTGTGCTGACAGCTCAGAGCGAGGAGTCTGCTGCGGATTCTGTCTCTCTCTCTCTCTCTCTCTCTGCCCCTCCCCGACTCGTGCTCTGCCCCCCTCTCAAAAATTAAAATACTAAAAACATTTTAAAAAATTTTTAGAAGAATTACTAGACCATATTTGCAAACTAACCTATTTGTCACTAGAGCTGCCCTGGCAGACTTGATGAGGTGAGCTTCGGGCTCCTAGTTTGTGCAAGAGTCTGTGACAGCTATCGAAGGGGATAAATGGCAATTTTAAGGGGAGGCCCAGGCATGGCCTTTGAGATCGTCCTTAAACCATCACAGGATTTTAACCAGAACAAAAATGGTGGGGGTGGCGGGGGGCTAATAAGGCATCAGATGAAGTTACGGGACCTTTATCATGTGTGGTAAGTTTGCGTCTTGTTTCCAGGCATGATTCAGTCTCTGCTTGTAGATCTGAACTAGAGTCAGGAAAGGCCAGAGGCCCAGGACACTTAGGAGGATATTACAATTGTTGAAATAAAATTAAAAAAAAAAAAGTAATACCGTATAAGTTAGGATGTAGCAGAAAGAAAGGATGGATTTTCTTTCTTTTTTTTTTTTTCAC